GAAGGAGAAGGAGAAGGAGAAGGAGAAGGAGAAGGAGAAGGAGAAGGAGAAGGAGAAGGAGAAGGAGAAGGATCAGAATCAGAATCAGAATCAGAGGAGGAGGAGGAGGAGGAGGAGGAGGAGGATCAGAGGAAGGGGAGTAGGAGGAACAGCAGCAGCGGAAGCAGGGGAGGAGGGGGAGGAGAATCATAATCAGAGGAAAAGGAGGAAGATTAAAATCAGAGGAGGAGGAGGAACAGATTAGAGGAAGGGAGAGGAGCAGCAGCAGCAGCAGGGGAGGAGGGGAAGGAAAATAGTAATGGAAAATAACTTTATTGCAATTATGAATATTTCATGGCCTGTGAGTTCCCGGGAATTGAGCATGACTCAAGACAATCTTGGCCCAATTAAGTGACATCACCTGGTTAACCTGGGCTGATCTGGAAAAACCTAATCAGAAAACCTACTAAAACCTACTAAACTTGGTTAGTACCTGGATAGGCCACCAGGAAATTCTAGAGCTGAACAATGGCCTGGAAAGGTGAAAAAAAAACTTCTTGGAAGAATGCAATGGTAAAACACTTTGGTTTGATTCAGGAACATCTGAAGGGGGGAATCAAAGAAGTCAAGTTGGAATTTGCAACTATACAAAAAAAACCCACCACTTTGAAGAAGCAGTTGCAGATGCCATCATGACTCCCCCCCACCCTCAAAAACCCCTTGCCCCTTCCCGAGAAAACTACAATGATACGTCCATCTGTAGGAGTTGAGTTTGACTTGAGGGAGGCATTATGTTTTATCTTTAAGTGAAAATCAGAATGATACCTGTTTAATTTTATTTTTAAGTAAAACAAACTGCCACGTCATTCATCCTGCATTTATTTTTGATGTGACTTGGCTATTATTAACCCTCGGATTTAGAAAGGTGGTCTTTATTTAGCGGTAAGCCTTTGATCTCCAGAATGGCAACTTTCATTGATCTTCAGGAAGGATGATATTTTAGGCAACGGTGTTAATCATCTTCAATTTGAGGTTATTTAAATCTCCTTTACCAGGCAGAATGACAGAAGATCAAAGTGATAAATGCCGAATATGTATATGACAACTTTATCAAAACAGTCTGTTTGATGTAGCAAAGGGGCCCAGGCCTAGCAGCCACAAGAACAGGTCTGAAACAGCCGACTTCCACGTGGGGATTTCCTTGGTGAACCAAAAGGATAGAATACAATGTGAGTTTAGAAGCCAGGGCAACCAATCCAGAGGGAGGAACAGAGGAAATGGGGAAAGAAAATGAAAGAGGAGGGGGTGACCCTTTTCCCCTCTTCCCCCCTTGAAAGTAGGACCTTCAGCCCATCTTTACATTAAATCCTTATTATGAAATGAAGAGCTAAAAATGCATCTGGGCCCGTTCAGATAAGATGGCAGTGACCAAGTGCGGTTAAGCATGGAAAGATCTACTCATGGCTAGCTTTTACATCGTGTGAATGCCCTGGGGTGCCCACAGGATATAGTAAAAATAAGCCAAGGTGGTAGCTGTGATGATGTCACCAAAGCTCCACCCAACTTTTACGTGTGGAGACCGAACCCCGTTGGGTGAACTTTCCCTCTTGGCTTGCGCTGTCTGCAATGCGCTGTCCACACTCTGCATCCCAAACTCTGGAGCCCTGCCATTCGGGGTATGGGGCCCTCCATAGAAACCACAGCCAGAGCCGGGTGACCCGAGTGTGTCCCATGAAAGCTAGTGAGTTCCAACAGAACATGGACAGATGGACCTCCCAGCTTACTGCTTGCTGCAACCAAGAATGAACCATTTGGTTCTCTTCCGTTTTGTTTTCATTTTGTCCGCAGACTCGGCAACTCATTTGATGTCCTTGCTTTCCAGTTTAATCAGAAACAAACAAATCAATTTCAGCGTTTATTTGTGAGTCCAATTTTCACTTCACATTTCTCCTGCTCTTTCATTTTCTTTTTGCCATTGCCTCCAAGGGGAAAGAAGTATGCAGGTCCCTTGGAAATAATACTCCTCAAGAAGGAAGATGGTCACACAACTGCAAAACCTTTTTTTTTTCTGTCCAGTTTTAAAATCAACATGCTTAGGTACTCCCGTTGGGACGTAATTTCTAAGAATAAAGATGGGTGCAAATTTAAAATTGTGGCTGACTGGATACAAAGTAGCAAGAGAAGGAGAAGGAGAAGGAGAAGGAGAAGGAGAAGGAGAAGGAGAAGGAGAAGGAGAAGGAGAAGGAGAAGG